GGAGTGGACCTGGGGGAGGTTTTGTAAAACAATGAAAGAATTTTTCTTTTACTTTTCCAAGAGGGTAGTGTTCTGGGGGAAGGCCTGGGAGGGGAGAAATGTGCAACAATGAATGAATGGAAATCCAAAGCCTCTGTAAATCTTTACTGAAATTAGTCATAAATTTAAATTTAAAAAAAAACAAAACAACACCAAACCAAAAACAGGCCTACTGTTCTCAAATAAATTTCAAGTTCTAGAAGAAAGATTATCCTACAACGAGCTTATTCTACCATCAATAATACTGATTGATGGAAAAATATATCCCTCTCGTTTTCCCCTATCTCCTTTTAACATGTTCCAGTTTAACTACTTACTTGGACTGTGATCCTACTAAGAAAAGGTCTCAAATCTGATCAGGACAGCTGGAACATTCAAGGTTTGGGCCTCAAAGTCTGGTTCACATGATTCAAATATTAAAATATTTCAACTTCTGCTATCCAAGGACCAAGTTTTAAAGATAAGCGTTTAAAATGAAAATGCTTCACTTTCTGGATTAGAGGTTAAAACAAATTTTAAAAAATTAAATTAAATAAGGGTAGTAGACTATCTAAAAAAATTAGACTAAGTATTTTCTTTTGAAAATGAAATAGTATGCATTCTCCCTTCATATATTAAATATTCAATATTGGTTTCTCAGCCAGTTATTTAAGGAATGTAGAACCAAAAACAAAACAAAAAGGACTAGAAAAATACACAGGAAATAATTTACTTTTAGTATCTTAGAAACTAAAACACGTTATAGATAAAAACAGTTTTCCCTAAAAGTACGTGGCAAATCTCAAGATGAGAGGTACTGTGTTTTACTATGTTATTATTATTATGTCAGTAATGTTAAAGACTCTTAAAATTTAAATATAATTTTTTAAAGAAAAGATTATGGAGACAACTCAAAACTTAAAAAATAAAACTACCACTAGAATGCTTGAAATAAATTTAAGAGAGAAAAAATATTTGCTTTCTTCTCTTCCTCTCTTAAAAAATGTTTAGAATCAATGTTTAGAACAAATCTAATCTAAAAGTTTGGCTCTTGCTACTTTATAATTTCCTAAGTCTACTTTTTGTCAACTATATGCTTGTTTTCCCCTTAAAATAAAATATGTTCAATCTAAAGAAGTTCTATTGCAAAGACTAAACATTTAACTACAAAATTATATAATCAACTTGAGAAAACTGTTAAAATAAAAATTTACATCATTTTCAAATGCAAAAAGCTCAAACTCATTACTATGGAGTCAGAACATAGCTGACCCTCCAGTGGTTTTTCAAGGTTGTTTAAGTCACTGGGAAGGGGATTGCCCATCTTTTTTTCTGCAGGGCGGTAGGTGGAACAGCTAAAGAGGCGTGGCCTTTAAATTAGCTGGGCAAATCCCTATGGACTATGCTACCAGAGCTCCCTTTGAGTTATTCAGCATATTACAATTAAGCAGAACTATCGGGATGGGTGTGTCAGAGGCAATGCGATTGGCACAGGATAGAACAGGCTTTAGGGCTGTTGTACTTAGGGTCGCTATGAGTCGCAAGCGACTCGACGACTCGACCGGGCACATAACAATTATCTGGAGGGAGACTGAGAAGGCAACCTAGTCTTATCACTGATTATTGATAAAATAAAATTACAACACTTAACAGAGTTTTGGTTCATTTTTATTTTCATTAAATGACAGTTATTGTTAAAAATAAAACTCTAGACTAAAAATTCACTATTATTGCAGTTTAAAAAATTGCTTTCTCCAATTTCCATGTTTTTTAAGAAAAATTGAGTGCTAAAAACAGAGAGCTCTGGTGGCCTAGTTGTAAGGAGTGTGCTGCCAAACCAAAGAAACAAGATTCGAATCTACCAGTTGCTCCGCAGGAGAAAGACCTTCCTTCCTTGTGATTAACTGCCTCTTATGGAGGGTCTCCTATGGGTCGGCTCTGACTTCACCATACACAACAAAGGCAAAACAAGGGAGCTCTGTGGGTAAAAACTTCCGCTGCCAAATCAAAGGAATGCGGCTCAAAGCAAAGTAAAACTTTTCTTTTTTTTTTTTAAATAAAAAGTTTGTTCCCCTCCCCCCCCAAAAAACCCTTCTTTGGTTTAAAAAAACAAAGGAGGGAACACTAGATGGGGGGGAAAGAGCAGGCGGACGAGCACAGGGATGAGAGTAGAAGATTAAACAGAACAAATAAGGGGAGGGTCCCTAGAGAGAAACGAGGAAGGCAGCCCTTTGCCCCTCAGTTTATCACCCTCGTGCAGCACAAAACCGCTAGGAGCTGCGAGCACCGTTTCCAATTAGCCTCCGCCCCTTACTTCCACAAATGAATGAAATGGGGCTACACCAGAGCAGAGTGCCTTCCCCGTCCGCTCAGTCCGGGGAAGAAGCAGCTCCGGGTTCAGATCGATCCCCTTCGATCACATCCCTCCCGCTCCCAAGGCTTGCCATCTCCGGAACGAACAGATCCAGGGACTTCCTTTTTCCTAGAAGTTGTGAGCCTAAGTCCCGCGCATCCTTTCTCAGCCCTCCTATGAGAACAGTTTAGCCCTAAAGGATGCACTGCTTCGGGCTCACCCTCCCCGGCCCTTTCTTGAAGTGTGAATGTGAACGCTCTTCTAAGGGGCGTTTAAGGATCATTCCAGCCACATCTTTTGGAAAGCACAGACAGAAAGCTGTGTGCACCATCTACAGTATCTTCACAAGTGAAAAGGCTAAAGGAAAGAAACAAGAAATTCCAAAGGCCCCACACCCTCAGCATCTCCCGCCATTTCCCTCCCGAGTTTCCCGGATGTAACCCCTTCCCCGCGGCGGTTAAAAGGGACCAAGCGGTGGAGACTCCCTTTAGTGTAGAGGAGATATCAAGTCTAGTCTAACCTCCACTAATCTGAGTCTCCAGTGACTCTAAGTTGTGTCCTATCTTCGAAGTCATGGGAGAAGGGGATAAACTACCCAGTTAGTTCTCCTTGACTTTGCACTCACCATCAGTTCCAGTTTATCGACCTCCGCCTCCATGTTGAATAGTTGACATTCCTCAGACCGCGGCGGCGCTTAAGCCGCAAACCGTGCTAGCACTGAAGGTCCCTATTGGACAGCTGTCACTCAACATCTTGTACTCATTGGTTCCCCAGTTCAATGATGCCCGCCCACTGGAGACTAGGTAACGCCCCTCCCCATGAAACACATTTTCCTGTTGGACAAAGACACAAAACGCCGCAGGAGAATTGGCTGCTGCACACCTTTTTTTCATTGGCTGCACCCCGTCTCTCCTTTCAATTTCATAGTTAGGATTCTGCAGAGAAGACCTTGCGATTGGTAGAATCGGAAGAAATGCTGACCAATTACACAAAATCTTTCACAGACAGCATGGAGAGCGTGGACACACCTTCTTTTCTCCCGCCTTTCCCTTATTCATACCTTGAGCGTCTCAGCTCTGATTGGCCAGAACTTAGTGCTACCTCAGCCAATCGCAAGGCAGACTTTTCTTCCGAGCTAGCGAATTGTGGCAAGTCCTTGGTTATAATTGGTCCCTCCGAGACATGGATTTCATTTTGAATTTTTCTGGATGGCATTGAAGAGCCCAGACTCCATCTAATCCACTGGCCTTTAGACTAGTAAGTGCAAAGATTCTTCCCTTGTTATCCGGGTTAGCGTTTTCGGCATCTAGACTATTTCTGCTTGCAGTCATACAGTTTAAGGAGGTGGGAACTTAAGCTGTGGTGAAAGAGGAGATGGAAGAAGGAAGGGGACATTTGGGGATCGGAGAAAAGTGCTCAGTCTAGCTTCATCCTGTCCGTAGCTCTGCTATTCAATTAACATTCTACAAAATACGTTTTGGAGTAAGCTATCTATCTGCCTTTGTTTTGTACATTCTTTTACTTTTTTACTGCTTCAAAGTCTGGTACACTAAGCAGCACCATCGCTGTTACTTGGACTCTTGTGTAAAATGCAAATGAGTGGGCACCACCCAGACCTACAGAATGAAAAAAAAGACGTTTTAACCAGATCTATCACCACTTTCAGTGATTCTTATGCATGTTAAAATCTGTGAACCGATATTTCTCAATAGAATTCTGTGAAAGCATCAGTTTTAAAAGTGTGCCCTGTACATGGTTCGAATTCACTAGATGCTCTGCTGGAGAAGGAGGGGCCATCTCCTCCTGTACCAGTCAGATCCGATTTGACGGTACACACACACACACACACACACACGAACAAAATAATAAAATAAAATTAAATTTAAAAAAAATTAGAAGACTAGGAAGTCCTGGTGGCCTAATGGTAAAAATCTGCGCTGCAGTCCTGAACGCATGAGGTTCAAATTCACTACCGTGTAGTGATTAATTATCTCTGAAAAAAAGAAAGATACTTCTTTTTTTTCCTCTCAAGCAAGAAAGGCTGTTTCTGAAGGTTATAGAGCATTTGAAATATCTCCTAATTCATTGCCTAAGAATTGCTTTTAATAATAGGATACTTGCTTGAGAAACTCTTTATTGATTGTCCAAAAGTTTCTTGTGTACCTGCAATAATCCGCCAGGAGCTGGATCCTGTGTCTTCTTCATCTAAATATCATCTTGCAAATGATACTTCGCATAACGAATGTCTGCTGGTGGCTTCACGAAATCCTCACAGTTATTATATTAGCATATTTTATACTTAGAGTGAAAAAGCCTGTATCAACTGAACACTGCATACATATTTCATTGAACTTACTTTAGATGCCATTACTCAGTAAATGTTTAATACAACATTGCAGGTCAAAGGCAAAGCATCAGCATAACTTTGTCCATCTACAGAATGAGCCTCCAGCTTAAGCCAGGTTGCACGAGCCAGCACACCAGCTTTTAACCTATTTCTGTACTTGTAAAGTGGCCTAAATGCATTTTATTGCTATTTACTTCTATCCAACCTGAAATAAAATTTTGGTTTCATGCCATAGGAAGAAAAAAAGAATTAGAAGACCACATGTCTGTAGTTTATGAGGTTAACAATAGCCGTAGGAAAGTACCCACTCTGTAGAACAATCTCTAGTATAAGATATACAAGGCAGTATTTGCCATGGAATAAATCTTAGAAGGCAGGAAAGGCTGGGATAAAAGATGAATGGAAAAAAGAAACAAAGGGAGAAAGTGTAAAGAGTGCTATTACAATGTGGAGACTACTTAATATCATGAAACAAAGTCTGTATCGATGCAATAGGAAACCAATTTGTTCCATAACTTTCACTAAAAGCACAATAAAACATTTTCTTTTCTAAATTCATTAGGATTCATGCCATTAATCCAATAAAATATTATCAAGAACATTCATTCCAAGCAGAATTGTATATAGATCCAAGTGCTGTTGCCCCATTGCTATTAAGGGTGCCCCCTGCAAGTCCACACCTCCTGGAATCAAGCTACTTCTCAGCTTTCACAACCAGCAGTCAGGCTAGGGGAGATTCTTCAGCCAGCAAAATGCAGAGCAAGTGCAGGGCTGCATACCAAGTGCTGAAAGGTTAGGGAGTGCACCAAAGCAGAATGAATGTGTATTTTAAAGGCAGATTGTTCCTATTCAATTTTAAGATTGAGGGGAAGGAGGCACAGGAGGAGCCCAGACCTTTGACCATGTTTTAATTCTGCTTCTTGAACAACATCTTTGTTCCACAGGTAGCAACAATCAAAACCAGTAAACTTGCTGGAGTTTATTTTCAAACTAGTTCTAATTTAAATTTTCTTTAGAAAAGGGTCTGCATTAAGAGTAAAGTATATTGGGATTTGTTTTTAAATGCTTTGCAATAAATATTTTGAAACATTAATGTCCTTAAATTGTAATTGTTATAAAACTAAATAAAGCATTTAGAATAATGCCTGACCATTAACAAGCACTTACAATAAATAAATAAAATAAAGCCTCTTGCCCCAGATTTGGTATCATCATTTCATTGTACAGCTCCCATTTAATCTGTGAATTGTATCCTAATTATTAGAAAGAATGTGTTTGGAGAAGTTTAAATCTGGATTTAATCTATTGCATTCCATCAGGCAAATCATCTAATCTTCCTAACTGTAGGTCTTTTGTTTGGTTGGTTTTTTTATTATGGGGGGTTTTTTTGTGTGTACCATCAAATCAGATTGGACTGGTACAGGAGGAGATTGCTCCTCCCTCTCCAGCGGAGCATTTGGTGGATTTGAACCTCATACCTCTGGGATTGCAGTGCAGCTTCTTGCCACTAGGCCACTAGAGCTCCCTTAAATGTAGTTGACCTTATATGAATATAAGGATAAAAATATACCTTGTCAGGGTTGATATGCAAGATAGTGAGCCTTAGCAGAGAAAAATGTGTATGAACATACCTGAATAAAAGAACATTCAATAAGTATTTCATGTCATTCCTTTTTCCATAAAAGTTTCTGGCTAATAACTTTTAACAACTGGCCATAACCCAACTATAGTAATTTCCTCTCTTATAAAGGGAAATGCATCTGATTTACTGAATAAAAATGTAACAAACTTAGACAGTAATGTAATGCCAAAGACAAAGTCTCTCTAATCTATTGCTGTTGGTTCCTACTCAAGCTCTCTTGTGGTGGTGGTGGTAGTGTTAGGGGCCATCAAGTTGGCTCTGACTCATCGCAACTCTATACAACAGAACAGAATACTGCCCCATCCTGTGCCATCCTCATCGTCTCTGTTGTGTTTAAGGCCATTCTGTGTCAGTCAATCTCATTGTGGGCCTTCCTCTCCTTTGCTGACCCCTCTGCCCCGAAGCATGATGCCCTTTTCTAGAAACTGTTGTCTTCTGATAACATGTCCAGAGTAAGTGAAATGAAGTTTCACCATCCTTGCTTCTAAGGAGCCCTCTGGGTGTATTTCTTCCAAGACAGGTATTGTTCTTTTTTTTTCTTCCCTGTGAGATAAACATACCAATTTAATAAATAAGCAAATTTCCTTCCATAAATCAATCATACATTTTTCAGTCATCTACTTGTTCTATGTCATTATTGGTAATATTTTTATTTATTTATTTAAAATTTATTTTCATGAAAGTTTACAAAGACTTTGGATTTCCATTCATTCATTGTTGACTTTTCTCACTTCTCACCCCTTCCCCCAACTCACTTTTCTTTTTGAAAAATAAAACAGAGGAACTCATGAACTATAACACAAAATGGATGACCCCGGAGGACACTATGCTGAGTGAAATATATTAGTCACAAAAAGACAAATATGGCATAATGCCACTGTTATAAAAGAGAACTGACATGATTAGATATTGTTATGACAGGAGTCTAGAACGAAGGTAGCATAGTGGAGTGGACTTGGAGGGAGGGATTGGATAACAATGAAAGAATTCTTTGTTCTTTTGGCAGTCCATATTGTACTCAATATTCTTCACTAACCTCACAATTCCAAGTCATCAATTCTTAGATCTTCCTTCTTCACTGTCCAACTTTCACACTCAAGTGACACCTACTGTGGCACCCAAATGCTTAACCAGTGCACCACAAGGGCTCCTTTAAGTCTTTCCAGTGATAATTTAAACTGTCATGAACAACATTATGGAGTCTGCTTAAATAAAAGCAGAAGAGGTTTATTGAGAGACTATGTTATGTTGTGTACTGTCAAGTCAGAACCTACCCATAGCTGACCCATAGTGGGTTTTCAGGGCAGTAAATCCCATGGGAAGAGATCACCCCTCTTCCTCCTGAAAAGCTGCTGATGAATTTGAACCATGTACTTTTGGGTTACCAGTGCAACTCCTTACAACTAGGCCACCAGAGTTTCCTCACTGAGGAATAGAGATTGTCCATTCCTGGAAACATCTACAGTCAGAGTGAAAAGGACAGATCTGCTGCAAGTGAAGAGGAAGCAGGAACTAAAGGTTACATAATTTGTAATTAGCTGAAAAACTATCAGAGGAGTTGCAAGTATCTAGATATCTAGAAGTAAGAATTTAGTTGGGACATAGTACATAAATGGGATTATATGATTGGTTAAAGGCACATGACTATTTATTACAGAGTGGTCCCAGGATGGCAATTGGACGTGGTTTTTTGTAAACTATTGGTAAAATTGCTTCCTCAGTTTTGTCTGTTTCTGGGGGATCCATTGTGAAGATATATCAATAATGCTGTGTATCAAAATCCTTCAGGCGCAAACTATCACGTCTTGCATTTGTCTGATTCTATAGATTATAGTATCCTACACCTGCCAGACCTCAGAGAAAAAGGAATATCTTCTTTAGGGCATATGGTTACTTCAACATCAATGTTAAGGCATTCCTGTCAGACAAGGCAGCTTTTAAATCCCACATGCATCACAGGCTTGTGCCAAGATTTTAAAATAGAGTTAAGGCTCTGCTTTCAGATTTCTCTTTTCACACACCCCCAAGTGCTTCTGATTTGAAACTCTTATATAAAACTTAGTTTTGTATTTTAGATTTCATTTACATTTTAATATTTTATGATTTTTTTTCCTTTTTCTTCATTTACATGGTAGTTACAAGGGTGTGTTCACTCCACCGAGATATACATATATGACATGTGGTTATTTATTATCCTGTATCTATTATCCTTCAATTTAAAAAGTAAAACAAATTTCTTTTTACAGAAATCATGCCCAAGTTCAAGCAACGAAGAAGAAAGCAAAAAGCCAAAGCTAAGAGATTATTTAAAAAAAAAGAAGCATCTCGACTTCTGTCCAAGCAAATTAAACCTTCCCCTCCATCTCCCCCTCCTTCTCTCCCTCTCCCAAGGTCGCCAGAAAGGTAAGGCATAGTGTAGGACAGAGAAAATATTACAGAAATCTCATCAATTTAGGATAAAGTCAACAGATTTCACATATAAAATTACAGAATGCCCCATGAAATTTGAATTTCAGATAAATAAGTGGATCTAGTTTAAGTATGTCCAGGAGAGACCAGTCTTTGGAGAAGGAAATGCTTAGAAGGATCAAGGGACAGCAGAGGAAAGAAAGACCCCAGATGAGATGGACTGACACAATAATTGGGGTAATGAGGGTAGGCCTGTCAGAGACAGTGAGATTGGCTCAGAATAGAGCAGGGCTCAGAGCTATTGTGTGTAAGGTCTCTATGAGTCGTAGTCAATGGCACATGATAACATGTCCTATGAAATACTTGGAATACACTTAAACTATGAAATTGTTCATTGTTATATGAAGTTTAGATTTAAGTAGGCATCTTTTATGTGGCAACCCTAGTCTAGGAGTTTAAATGAAACACAAATCACTGAAAATTGTGTTTGAGATACACATTCTTTTCAGTTTTCCTGGTCAATTTAATGCCATCAATCTGGTAACTAAGTCAAGGGGGGAAAAGGGGCATAGGACAAGAATTTAAATTTTAATTGTGGTTAATGCTTTGATTTCATTCGTAAATCTTAGGACATCCATCATAAACATGTTAATGAAAGAGATTCTTGATTTCTAGCTAACTCTGAGTGTGTTTTTTTTTTTACAATAACCTATACTTTATATACTTTTTTTGTGTGTAAAATATTTACAGGGTCCCTAGGGGCATAGTAGGGCCGATGTTGGCTTGCTAACTATAGGGTCAGCAGTTTGAACCACCAGCTGCTCTACAGAAGGAAGATGAGGCTGTTTCCTCTTGTTAAGATTTACAGCCTTGGGAACTTGATGGAGGTTCACTATGAGTTGGCAGTGGATTTGGTCTTTTCCATGGTTATAGCTACAAACCCCAAACTTGCTTTCTAAAAGTAGGCATCTTTTACTCTTCTGCATCCCTCCTAGATTATTATCAAAGCTTCCTAAGTGGTCTTCCTGCTTCTACCCTCAATCCCTCTGTAGTCAGCTCACAGAGAAGCAGCCAGACTGAAACTGTTAAAAGTCCTATCTTGTTGCTCCTTTACTTCAAATGCTACCATGACTTCCTATCTCAGAGTAAAAGATAAAGCCTTTAGTATGATCCATTACACCTTTTCTTATCACACTGTAACCTCGTCTTCTAATCCCCTTTCTTCTCTAGTTACACTGACCTCCTTCCTATTCCATAAACACTTAGGCTCTCTTCCACCTCAAGACCTTTGCACTTGGTATTCCCTCATCTGAAATGCACTTGTTGCAGATATTTTAATTTACAGCTTCCTTACTTTTCTAGTGTGTTTTTCCCCAGCAAAAGTCACATTCTTTTTTCTTTTCTTTTTTTAACCCTTTTTAAAAATTAATTTTAATGAAAGTTTATAGAAACTTAGGGTTTCCAGTCATTCATTGTTGCACTTTTCTCCCTGCCTACCCCCTCCCCCAAAAGTCACATTCTTGTGATACTTTTTCTCAGCATTTCTCACTACCTAACTCTATGTGTTATTTTACTGTTGTTTTTTTTTATTTTTCTTTTTATTGTGATTTGAGGGCAAGTTTATAAAGCAAGTTGGTTTTTCATTCAACCATTCACATACATGTTATTTTATAATATTAATTACAATATTCACAGTGTAACCATACTTTTCCCACTTCTTTCCTGTGATTTTCATTTCTGTTAATTCTTCTAGCCTACCTTTTTCTGCATTTAGGGATTTATCCTTTGACAACTGCTGTTCTTTGACCTTCACCTTATAGGTCTACTTATTGATTAATTGAAAGTTGATCTGCAGGGATACAACATACCATAGATAATGTTACTACTACTCATTTATCTTATCTTTTTTTCCCCATGAGACTGCAAATTCCACAAGGGCAGAATTTTTGCCTTATTTGTTGATCATGAATGTGTGGTGTCCTAAGCATACAACTCAATCTCAGAGTCACTGCCCTGGCTCATAGCTGATTGTCCCTCTGGTGGGTTTCCCAGAGGCTATAAATCACATGATAGAGGATTGCTTATCTGTCTCCCATGGAGCGGCTAGTGAATTTGAGGCACCTGAGCAAGGCAGCCTTTGGGTTAGCAGTGCGACTTCTTAGTAATGACATCACTGGTGCTCCCTTTGTCTATAGTCAACTCAACTCAACTCAACTCAGCTCATTGCTGTCAAGTCAGAGCCAACTCCTAGGTGACCTTCCAGTGGATTTTCAGAGAGGAGATTTTCCATCTTTCTCCTATGGAACAGCTGGTGGATTCAAACCATTAGCCTTTGCATTGGCGATGCAACTCCTTCCGCACAACTTTTTTTTTTTAATTTTTTTCATTATTATTTTGTGTGTGTGTGTGT